CAGGTCTAAATGCAATCCAGGCACAGCACCAATCGGAAGCCTTGTTCAGACAAGTTCTTTGTGATCCACAATACCTGTCAGCAAGCCAGGAACCATGCTCAAGACATGGCGCAAATGTCACCACCCCCAATCATGTGGAAATTGCAATGTCACAGTTCCAACTCACACCCAAATAAGACCAAGGGGCTTGCTGTGACTTCCTTGGAGGAGAGTTGCTAAGACCAATCTTTCTACTAAGTCTTTCTACTAAGTCACCATGAAGTCTGGTTTAAAATCCTGACTAGGTTCCGAGGCAAGTGTTTGAAGAGTGGCTTGAACTCTTCTTCAATCAGCTCCAGAGCCACAGATGGAGGCATCCACGGCGCAGGGCAATTGACAATTCAAAATGGCAAGTGCTGTGAGGATCTGTGACATGGACATCAGTGATTTTATACATGATATTAGGCGATGTGATGTGTGTGAAGTCTGTGAAGTATGAAGGCCAGGCTTGTGCTCTGTGACCTTAGCAAGGCCTTTCAGCACAAATGCTGCTGCAACAATAAGGCGCGCAAACATGAAGGCAATCAACTGAAGGCCAATGAATGGACTGCAAGATGCTGAGGTGAGGTGTGTTTAAGTAGAAAAGTAGGTTTGCCAAAGTAGACGTGACTAACAGAAACATATGTTTGAGTCTAAGTTTTTGAATCAATGTACAAGTCTTCATGTCAATCCATCGCTTGCCACCAACTGAGTATGGCTTGGCCCCAGACCGTCAATTGTCAATTGAAACCACCTGGGGTGACACAAGCTCAAAGAACAGTGGCACATGGTATGTGACTGTGACATGTGAATCCTTCAGCACACGTGTGACAGTGACACATGACATGGTGCAAAAAAACACTTCAAGTGCAAAGTGAGCACTAAGTTGATGGCTTGGTCAGGCACTGTTCTTCACCCGAACGACTGAACGACCTCAACATGGTCAGAATTGATACATGCTTGGCATGATTATGACATCAAGTCTGAGACTGAACAACTTAAACACCAGTGAGTGGTTCCAAAGCTAAAAACTCAACAGCATGTTTTAGTGCCAAGCAATTTCATGAAGTGCATCACTGATGGCCTGAGAAATGCTGAGCTGGCAAGATGTAACAAAACAATCAGCCATCAAACGCAGTGGTGTCAAAGACCCTTCAAAGCAAAAGTGTCAGCGTCATCTGCTTCCAACTTTTCCATCAGGCGAAGACGAGTGAACGAGGGCTTTTACCTCTGCCTCTTCCCCTCCACAGCCAAAGCACGAGCTATTTCCATTCCTAAGCCAATCAAACACATGCCAACTCAATACAGTGCTGATAGTTGACAACTCAAAAATGCAACTCTGACTTGAAGCCACGTTGAAATCATGTTGCTCATGAGTGGTAACTCACAATGCATGGGTTCATGGCACTTGGAAATTGCAGTGAAGTGGCCCAAAGAATTGGCAAACCAGAGCCTGGATTCAGATTTGTGCCCCCAGCGGAATGATAGGTTCAGCCTTGGTGCATGAGAAATGAAATGCTTCAAGCTCTCACTACTGCAATGTTGCCTTAAACGCTGCAAATTGAATCTGAATGCTGATGTGGGGCAGCAGCTTGGTTTGCCTCTCCTTGCCAGCGTTCATTTTTCCCAACTCATGGAACTTGTTGATGCTCGTCTCTTGGATCCAATAGTCTGCAAGCACCTCATGCCTTGGACACTGGAAAGCGTCAGTTTATTAGTTGCACTTGTTGGGACTTGGAATGGGAACTCATTTGGCATGCACAACATTGATATGATATGGTGATATGGCAACATGAGACTGAGTTGACATGGCAAGCCACATGACAGGGTCCAATGTGTCCGTCTGCTCAGGAACACCCACAGGGTCCAATGTGTCCTCCTGCACACGCTGCTCAACCTGCTCTGCTTCAGGCATTTGTTGTGGCTGCATGCTTGATGAAGACTGCTTGCTTGGCTGCTTGTTTGATGAAGACCGTTTCCTTGATGAAGCTGTAGGAGTTTCTTTCGCATGTGATGCCCACCAAGCTGATGGTCCTGCTTTTGAAAGCTCTTCGAGTCGCCTGTCCTCCTTCTCATACTCCTCAAAGACCTTCATAACCCCCTCAATCCCCCAACAAGTAGGAGGGTGGTGACTATCATCTCCAGCTGGGCCTGTCCAAGGACCTGTGTTCGTCCACCAATTCTCACCGTACCCACCTCCATCCCACCCGAAAGAAGTGGCAGAAGTGCACTGATAATGATCTCCATCTGCAACATCATCTGTCTTCACCTAGCAAAGTTCAATGGACACAACTCAAGTTCCATGGAGGTGAAGCACCAGTCAAAGCAAGTACAGGACAGAACTGGAGAACAGCAGTAGCAGGTTTGCAAGGCGCCTTCGAGGGTGGACTTGGTGGTGGAGGAAGAGGGGGTGGAGGCAAGGGTGGAGCAATGGTACTTGCCCTCAGTTAGCGCTCATTGGTGAAAGCTGGAAATGTGATTGGTCTAGTGCTGTTGAAATGCATGAACTGCCACTGCAACCCCAGCAAAAGTCCTTTTTGTAGCCAAGTCACAATTGAAAATTGGGATTGAGCCTGTTCCAAACTGAGTGTGCAGTCCTCAAGGCATCCTGGATTTCCTGCTCGGTTAGACACATTGATGCAGCCATCCTGGAATGAAGTGCCCTAAGTGCATGTGTGTGCATGCTGAGCTGGAGGATGGAAAATTGCCCATGCCGTGCAAAAGCTATGCAAATTATACATAAACAAAAATGCAAAGCATGCACAACAAGTAAACTTTGCACAAGTGACTGCATTCCCTGGCATGGGGGTGCCTTGGCAAGCCAGCTCTCGATGCAGTACAAAGCTTCTGACTTTTCCTGACATAGGTAGTCCAAATAGATCAGCACGTCGCAACCGGCAACCTCAACAATAAGTTCAGTTCATGACAAGGCTTTAGGAAAATTGAATCTGGACATGTCAGGTTGAGCTGTTGGTGATCCTTGCTGATACCTGACAATGGAGAAAGAACTTAATTTGCCAAGACACTATCAAGACAAAGGCAGTCAGAAAGGCCATGGCACACGTGCGATGCTTTCCTCTCCAACATCTCATCGTGGGGAAGATGGGACGTGAGACACACAAGGCTTTGAAGTGAACACCACAGCCCACACTTTTACTCTCCAGTTCTGTCACCCTTTCCTGCCTGCATACTCTATGAGGATGTGTCAAAATCTTCATGAGCGCTTCCCATGCAAGAGGATGTTGAAAGACCTGAGCAGCATAGCACAACACAAGACTCACAACCAATCAGATTCGCAAACAATGGGAAAATGGACCTGAAACAATGATATGACTGGTCATTGTGCATGAAGCTTTGTTTTAGCTAAGCCACTTCTTGCATCACACTGGCATCAACACCAGTCTGATCTGCTCTATAGCCTCCATCTTGCTCGTGACTCCAACGGCTCTTCAACATGTGGTTGAGCCGTGTCTCCCAGTGACGCAGCCGCTTGTCCTTGCTCATGTGCAACAGGTCTGCGACATCGTCCCAAATTGGCACCTGCCCCAGTCTGCAACACAGTCAGTGGGCCATGCAAATGAGTGACAGTGAATGAAAAGCATGCCACAAGCAACATCAACACACATAGAAACAAGTCAACACACATAGAAACAAGTGCCAGGCCTGATAGGATCGTGTCTCCTCATCATAGTGACACTCATGGACTCCATAGCCAATGATGAGCACTCGCCTAGGCCAGAAAGCCACCCTTCCATCTGGCAGCGTCACTTCCACCACCTTAGCAGCAATAATTGATCAAGAAGGCGTGCAAAATAGACAAACAATTGGGCAATTGGCAATTGATTGAACTGACAAACTCATACATGACACATGCCAAACAATGATTTGCAAATGAGCAGCAGGGTCCTCAAGGAGCTCTTCATGAGTGGAAAACCCCCATGCCTGCATTGCTCCATCAAGCAATTGGCAGTTGACAATTGACCATTGGCATCTGAAGTGATGAAGTGATGTTGCTGTTGCAGCAGTGTTGGAAGTAAATCTGTGAGGTGAAAATTTTGCTGCCAATTGCCAATTGATTATGTTGATGACTTTTGCTCTCATTTGTTGATTGTGTGGGCCCTTTGCAGCCCAAAGCCCAAATGCTGCAACCATGAAAGCAGTCAGTGGTTTCAAAACCAAGCTCACAAAAAAAAAACAGAAAAAAAAAACCTTCACCCCCCAAACACCCCAAGGCCCCTGCAATTGTGGATTGTAGATGTGGATCCTGGATATCATGGCCTCAACAAAGTGCCAAAAGTCAAACATCAATAGAATAGAACATGGAATAGGAAAAGGTGCTATGGTACATGGTGGTGATGGCCACTCTGAGATCCAGGCATTGAAGTTCCCATGGCCCCATCACCCACTATAAATAATTGAATTGCCAATTGCAAATTGAATTGTCAATTGAATTAATTGAAAATTGCACCAAAACAAGTAAACACAAATAGCAGCAGTGAGCAAGAAGGCCGGGCAAGAGTAGCAGCAAAAAGGGACAACACTTGGTGCACTTTTGGAGGGTCTGTTTTAAGGAAAATGTGTTTACTGACTGTTACAGCTATTTGGCAGCACCCAATCTATACTCATTTGACCCCTGCTTTTGATAGGAAAAAGCCTCTTTGGGGCACTTGGTTGGTATTCCAAAACAAGCTTTGAGCTACGTCCGTACACGTGTGCATTGGTTGATTGTAGTTAAGCTCAGAAGTTGCTCTCATTGTCAGACATACTCTTGCAGTCTTGCCGTTCACACAAGCTCACATAGTATAGGTCACAAATCAATAATCAACGGAAACAACAGTGGATTGACTCAAACAACAGACCGCTTCAGCTTAAGGACCTTGGCTTTGGAGTAAACTACCATAAGGAGCATGCTGGGAGATTAACCTGATAGCAATGGTCGCCAACCTACCAGCAATGGCCTCCACTAAATCATGTCAAGGGTCTTAACTCAAGAGGCTGGCTGGTGTCTCGGATAAAATCGCGACAGAGTGTGCTGATCACCAATCCAGAGACACACTGAAAGAAGGTGAGCAAGCAAAAGCTCCAGAAGAGCATGTTTGTACTCGCGGTAAGGCATTTGATGAGCCTCGGCAAGGCATCTCAGTCAAAATGTGCACACAGCGGTGATGACAAAGCATGTCATAAAAATAGAGTCAAAAACCTGTAAGATATTATACGTGTAACAAATATACTATATCCCTAACTTCGTAAAGGGAGGAAAAGAATGGAAAAGAGACTTCGAGAACCTTCGAGATCTGAAGATGCTTGGTTCTTATTTTTCCCCTTGAATATGTACTTAGATGAAGAAAGGGGTGCTCCAAGCAACAAATGCAAGGACTGCAGGACACTGTGCATAGTGACCATGCGTATCGCTCGGCTCAATTTGCCAATACGAAGAAGACGAAATAGGATCGGACTCACCGGTAAAGTCACCCTCAGACCGGATGTGAACAAGGGCATCGCTACGAGCATTTCGGGCATCGCTACTAGGAACAAGTGCATCGCTTCTAGTAACAAGTGCCTTACTAGTAGTAACAAGAACGCTACTAGAAACAAGTGCCACGTTAGTAGTAACAAGAACGCTACTAGGGGCTCCTGGCATCGCTACTAGGAGCAAGAGGACGCTACTAGAAAAGAAACAGAACAAGGGGTGCACTTTGTACAAAGTAGGGATAGATTTCTTTACGAAAAGCGCACTCAGAAATTCTTTTCCCGTCGTTTGACAGCGCATCTGGCTGCTGGCCTCCAACCTAATAGCTTCTTGTTCCAAGTAATGGCCTCCAACCTAATAGCAATGGCCTCCAACCTAGTAGCTTCTTGCTACTAGTAGTAATGGCCTCCAACCTAGAATGCTTTCAAATCCAAGAATTCCGGACATGCTTGAGGCCGCTGTTCACTCTGTTCACTGTGACAGGAGCTAGTGCTCATATGTTCCACATGATTTAGCGTCCAAGATTTTGCCATGGCTCATATAGTACAGAGTGACTTCCATCAGCGTTGTAACACAAACCTCAAGTGTTGACAATCACAGAGCATCATGCTCTGCTTTTCTGTTCAACAAACATCTTGATTTAGCAAGTGCGTTTGCAAGTGACTGCCAAATCGATGTAGTTCACAAAGGCCTTGAAGAACTTGGATTTAAGAACACATACTCGCAAAATGACATCAGCTGCAAAGAACAAGGTGAAGATGAGATCTACTGTCCTTGGCACAAAGCAAATCCCGACATGCATCTGAAGCATAAACACCTGACCTGTCTTGGAGTCTTCCCCTACATTGAGTCCAACCTAAGAGCGGCCTCCAAGCAATCTATAAAACTCCACTAAGTCCGTCCAATGTTCTTGAAGGCGGACTCCCAACCTGGGTATGCCTCGGACGGGACCACCACGTAACCGATGATTCCCTGCTCATAGCCTTTCACTGACCCATCGATCTGCAGCTCGAAGGCCATCAAGAGCACATTGACACCTGCATAGTCCATATCCGACCTCCCTCCTAATAGCAATGGCCTCCCTCCTGATAGCAACCTCTAAGATCTTTTCTTGGAAACCAGGATTTGAAGGAATATCAGCTTGAAATCTGTGCAAGAGATGTCGTCTGTGAAGGAGGCTCTTAGGAGGACAAATCAATCCTATGAACACCTGAAGCGGTTCGAAGCACACTTTTTTTGTAGCTAAACAATGACATGGCTCTTAGGTACACTCCGTCGAGGCAGTCAAGGCTGCCAAGGCTAGCTTACAGGCCACTGAAAGTGAGAAGTATTGAATCAAACAGGGACTGAGACAGGGACGGTGCAGGAGTCATGCTTGAGAGATGTTTGAGAAATGAGTAGGAACAATAAGCTACTAGGAACAAGTGCATCGCTTCTAGGAACAAGTGCCTTAGTAGTAACAAGAAGCTATTAGAAACAATAATTAATAATTACAGTAGAATCAATTAACAAGAGAACTACTGCAGGCGTGTCGATGTCTGGTGGAGCACTTGGTGCACATGCACACCAACTGAAAAGGATACACTTCGACACAGTCATGAACTGGTGTCACCACTTGACACTTCTACACTTCGCAGACTATATTAGACTCATTAGACCGTTCTTCCTTTTCTTTGTTCTTTGTTTCTAAAAGCGATGGCCTCCACCTAACTAGGGACCGAGGACCGGACACCGGACAACTTCACTTGACGACCGGAAGAGTCGGCAAGACCACATGCAGACTCGCTCGAGGCATTCAGTGAGGCACTCAAAGCAACTCACAAATCATGTTTGTCAAAAATATCTGCGGTTGCGGTCGCGGTTGCAGTTGCTGTTGCTGCTGGTGTTGTTGTTGCGGTTGTTGTGGTTGTTTTTCGGCGGGGGTAGGCTGCTAGAGGAAGCAGTAAGCTAGTAGCTATTGAGTAGGACGCTCCTAGGTAGGGCGCAGGAGAGCTCACGCTATTCGTTATTTCGTTTTGGTAGATGTTTAGGAAAATGTGTGAAACCGAAAATGATCCCTTTCCACAGTGCATTGTTTGCGAAGAAAACACGTATTTTCACTCGTGAGCGAATCTGATTAACTTTCTTGCAGGGACTTGTAACGTTGGATCCTGTGAAATGTCAACTACACGTCGGTGGGATTGGGGAAGGACACTGATAGCATGCGGGAGCGGCCGTGGGAGCAGTTGTTGCTGAAAAGGGTTGCAGCTATCCTCCGCTCATGAGTCTTTCAGTCTGAAGGGTTGGTAGATGGATCCTGCCCACAGCCATTTTGCACATTGCTTGTGTTTGCACCAACTTTGCGCATGCAAACACGAGCAATTGTTTTGTGTAATTGATACAAAGTCCACTGTCCTTACAAGGACGTTGCTTTGGGAAGGAGTTAAAGAACAATTGAATGAGAAGTGAATCAATTTTGGATAAGAAGTTATATGATAAATGATAAGGTCTACATGACTTCGACATTCGCTGGTTACATCTCTTGTGAGTAGGCTCGCTTTCTGGAATGGCCTTCACGGCCGCAGTGTGCGTGTTGTCTTGACTAATTAGTTGGAGGCTATCGCTAGTAGGTTGGAGGCCATTACTACTAGTAGCAAGAAGCTACTAGGTTGGAGGCCATCGCTACTCTGAACAAAATGCCGGAAGAAGAGGCTAACTGCTCTACGCCTGTCATTGCTACGACAGACTGAGACCTAGAGCAGACTAAGGACTGAGCACACCACACGACAACACTCTCCGCCACAACAACACAACACGACCTGTGTGAGCATCATGTTTTGTGTTTTTGTTTAAATGTTTTTGTTGCCCACTCCTACTCAATGAAGTAGGCGCCTCCTTAATTAAGTAAGGGAGAAGTTCGCTACTAGCAATAGGAAGCTCCTAGCTAAGACAGAGGATAGCTCACGCTTCTTCAAACAAGCTCCCCCCGCCTGCACTAACGATTTGGTTCCTAGATTTTTCGTGACACTTAAATTAAGAGCACCACATCACAACTGCCAGAGTTGCACTGAACAGTAATCACAAGAGTCAGGGCGAACTGGTGGAAACAAAAACCAACGACAAAAAAATTGAGAAGTGAAAAGAGCTCTATTGGTTCTAAGAGGTCAATTCTGTTTGTCCGTGCCCCCACAAACTTCCAGCGTTCGCTAGCACTAGTTCAACAAGCCCAAGCTGCGTGTCATGATTCGGCCAAGATACAAAGCACGATGGCAATGATCATTTCATATCTGTCGGACTGCAGAAACTTTTGCAGCTTCTGAAAGCGAGACAAGTCCTTAGGAAACTTCACTCGTTGGTCCAAAGGAACCCAAGGGCCATGGCCTCCAACCAACCTAGCAAGGGCATGCCATTCATTGGAAAGCACTCCCGTACTTGCAAGCTCACAAGCGGCTCGCATGGTAGCTTCTTTTTGACCCCGAGGCCTGGCTTCTTAGATTAGATAGCCTATGATAGCCTTAGATAGGCTTTTAGGAGCAAGGGCGCTACTAGCAGCTCCTGGCTGCTAAACTACTAGGAGCAAGAAGCTACTAGGAGCAAAGGGCATCGCTACTAGGAGCAACGACACTTTTGGGTTCGAGACAAAGAGACCGAGTAGTTGACAGGCACACTCGCAACGCTGTAGGAGGCATCTCCCTCATCATCCAATTTCACCTTCAAGTCCTACAGCATTTGGCTAAACGAATCTAAACGGATCCCGTTGTTCAACATCATTCAAGACCGTGTCTAAAGCTACCCACAGTGCACACCATATTCATTCTTTTGCATGCAAAAGCAAAGCAGGAACAATGAATTCTTTCCACGGATTCCTTGCCAGGACTTACACTGCACAAAGGCGTTTGGCTTTAGATCTATGAATCAGGAATGAATGTACTTAAAAAATCACATCATCTCGGCAACTGTCTCGCTCCTGGCTACTCAAAGCATTCAGAATCCGATCAGCTCTGATCGATCCATGAGAAAGGTCATCTGCCACTTCTTTCAGGGCTATGATCTCTCCACATTCTCGACATATGTCCTTAAGAACTTAAGAAAAACACAAAGCTTGAGTTACTGTTTGCAACCAAGTTGAGAAAAACTACGCTCAAGGCTTGTCAAAGTTTGAAGAAACAAGGGCAGTCCTGAGGTCCTTTGGCCTCCTTTGATTGAGATTCTCTCTCTGTCTGCCTTGCTTCTTGTTCAGCAAGTTCCTGTAAATGTTGTTGCACCAATTGGTTCACCAATCGCCTCAATCAAATGCGATGATCTCCAACTGAATAGGGTCTTGTGTTCAGTGATGGCAGTTTGGGTCTTAGGGTGCATCATGCTGTCAGCCTTCCTTGCAAATTTGATTACAATCCTTTCTTTTTGCTTTCAGTGGCTAGGACGCCATCGGACAGTCAAAGGAAACGCAAACCTAGGATGAAAAGCATCATGGCATCATCCAAGGCGCTGAAATGAAGGGGACGCAGAGCTGCTCTGGAACTTGTCAATCCTGGCCAGGACAAAGCCAGAAGCGCAGGAGACAGGAAATGTGGTGAACCTCGCAAATTATGTTTCAAGTGCATCAGTGCATCCATTGGCTCAATGCCGGGCTCATAGACAAGCTTTAAAGACATGTTGTTTGTCTTTATTCTCGAATGCACCTTACTACGCAACAAACTAGCTCCTGGAATTACTACTAGTAGCAAGAAGCTACTAGTAGTTCCTGGCATTACAGCTGATAACAAGAAGCTACCAGTAGCAGTAGTAGTGCCAGTGGCCTTTAGCAAGAAGCCGCCAGTAGCTCCTGGCATCAGTGCTAGTAACAAGAAGCTACTAGTAGCTCCTGGCATTACCACTAATAACAGAAAGCTGCTAGTAGCCCCTGGCATCACTACTAGTAGCAAGAAGCTACTAGTAGCTCCTGGCATCACTACTAATAACAAGAAGCTACTAGTAGCTCCTGGCATTGCTACTAGTAACAAGAAGCTACTAGTAGGTGCGGGCATTGCTACTAGTAACCAGAAGGTACTAGAGTTCCTGGCATTACAGGTTTTGGAGGTTTGGGATGCAAGGCTGAAGTGTTACATTCGTGTGAAATAGCGTAGAAACATGACACTCAGCCTCCTTCGTTGCGCCATCGGGATTGGGGTTCGCAGAGTGTCCCTGTGCCATTGGGATATGCGTTGCAGGCGTTGCCTGGAAGCTGCGTTTTCGTGGCAAGTCTCAGCTAAAGTTGTGATTTTGGTGGGCGTGAATGCTGCGAAAGCGTCGAAGCCATTCCAAAGGTGTGGTGCGGGGGCTTTGGCTGAAGACATGAAGCCCTGATGAAACAACATTTCGTGGCAGGCGCAGCATTTTGAGCCTTTGGAGGCGTCGAAGTTTAATTTTTGCGGCAGGCGCAGGTTTTGAGGGGGCCCTGGATTGCGAGACTGCTTGGCAGGAGTGCTAGTACGAAACGCTTGCTTTGGAGACTTGACGCGTGACTTCTGGGCGCGTCTCGTACGAAGCAAGTGCCCCGCACAACAGTGCTCCACAGAGTGCCCCCACCTCCAAGAATGTCGATCAAGGTTTCCGGCAAAAGCCTTCCACAAGACTAAGAGTCCCCCACAAAAATGGGGGAGCACAAATAATGAAGAGGGCTTCGTAGTCCATCTGGGGCTTGAGTTTCGCCAAGTTGATGAAGTTGACGTTCTCGAAGATGTCCTCATAGTCCATCTCCATGTCGGGCTCCACCAAGGTCCACATGCGGTCCCCGTCCGGCATGGTGAGGTCGGACCGCTCCACCATGTTGTCACTCTCCCACCACTCCTGTAAGGAGTCGAACTGGGCTCCGTGCTTCCCAAAGACTTCATCGGCCACCAGCTGTCCAACACCTCTGCCTCCATCTCGACGCGCCTGCTGAAAGCATTGCCAACACTCCACAGCTCTGTGGCCTGACTTGCCACCAACAAAGCAAGGTCCTTTGGTCTTGCCTTTGCCCTTCTCTTGACTCTCGGCCATTCTTGCCTTTGCCCTTGTTGTCGGAGTAGCCCTTGCCTTTGCCTTTGCTCTTTCCTTTGTCACCACCCTTTCCTGTGGGCGATCCATTCTTACCTTTGCCTATTTGTCCTTTCCCTTTAGGTTCTCCTTTCACTGTCCATATCCGTGGGACCAATCTAGTTCCGCTCGAGCATTCCCTCACCTGGGCATACTTTGTGCTTCACATTCAGCTGAAGATGCTGCCTCACCTGACCAGGTGACAACAGCACATCACTGTTGCTATCTTCAGGTTCTTGTCCACGCAGGTTCCTGCCAGCTCGTACTCGCCGACCAGCTCGTCGTACTTTATGAACCCCTCTAGGATCTTGCCTCTGTCAAATTGAGGGAAGGCCACCAAGGCTTGGATGATTCCAAGTTCTCTCTGTCTTGTCTTGGGCTGGCAGGCCTTGAAGCCGTCATTGCTCGTGACACTCCGGATGATCCGAAGTGGTCTGCCCTTCACAAGGCTCACCAAGTAGGAGTAAAGCTTCCGGGCTCTCTTCTGCACTTCGTCTTTGCACGCCTCCATCTTCGTCTCTTGCTTAGTCCAGGTCGTTGGTGTAGTGTAGTTCTCCTGCCATTAAAGAGGAAAGAAACCCTAAGCCCTAAAGACCATTCAGGCCATGCCTGCTCTTCATCCAAGGAGTGGGACTCCACACATCTGGCTTCACCAAAGTCTTTGGATCGGCGCGTCCCGCTCCATAACTTCCCTTTTCACCCAAGTTGGCGAGGGCTGTTTGCGCAAAGCCGTGGATCTCCTGTACCACTTGCTCCAATTGCATCCACTTGCCATGGAGCTTCAACTCCACCACCGAAGATGCCCTTGAGGTAGCCACAAAGCTCCGATTGCAAGCTCTGGGCTCGGGTCCTGGCCTCCTTGAGCTCCGGGCAAATTAAGTCCTTCACAGCTCCGCTGCCATCTAAAAAGGCTCGCTCTCTTTTTGAGCCTTGATTGCGGCCTGCGGTCACAAGTCTTCACAAGTCTTCTCAACATGTTTACACATGGAGGTATGTCAGCGCATAACCGTCACATGTTAAAATCCGCTTGATTCCAAGTGATTTCCTTGTAATCCCAAATGATGTTCTTGTAAATTCCTGTTGAGCTGCTTTGGTTCTTGTTGGTGCCTTTTAAAGATTTGTTGGTGTCTAATTGATTTCCTTTTGGTTCCAGTTGATTTCCCTTTAAATTCCAATATAATTCTAATTGCTGTCCGTTAAAATTTTGTTCAAATCCTTTGAAGTTCTTCTCAATCCCTGTTGAATTGCTTTTAGGTCGCTTTTAACCGATTGATGTCTCTTAAACCGTTAGTTGATGCCCTTTAAATCCCCTATTGAACCAGGTCAAATTATTACAAAAATCTATTGCACAAAGGAAGTAGCCCAGCACACTAGAAAACCTTGAATAGTATAACCCCTACAATACACTGGCCGGACAGCAGTTGCGCTTCTTGAGACACAAACTCATGTCAACCCTTACCCCCTAGAATCCTACATTGAGATACCGGGGGCCATGTGGGCGGTCAATTTTCACACCGGAATGCCTTTTATTAATATAGATTCACCGTGCAATATCGTGACAATGTGTTTAATTTGTTATTTGGATGTGTGAATTCCCTTTAAATTGATAACCATCAATGTCGTTTTAATCTAAATGTAGCTTGTTTTTGTTGCTTACATATTTAATTCCCTTGATAATCCTGGTGATTTCTATATACGTAAGTATTTACTGTTTAAATTCCTTTTGATATCCAACAAACATGAGCGTGCTTAAGCCTATGAAATACACGTTTAAAAATGTAAAATACAGTATGTTTAAGCATCCCCTGACAAGCAAATTTTACATCCCTACCAACACCCGTTCTCTCTTTTTTAAGACCTTGTTTCCTCTCTTCTTTCCTAGTCCGAGGACAATGTGGTGGACCTCCAAAATCAGCTCTCAAAGTGCGATGAGGCAATGCGAGAGCAATAGAACTTACTCAAGAGGTCTAGAGGAACTTACTAGCGATGGCCTCCAACCTCAGAGCTGAACTTACTCCCAGCATTTCAGACCTGTCCTATCGGACCCTTTCAGGGCGTTCCTGTCCCTTTGCCTCTCCTGCCATATTCCAACGATGCATCATCCCAAGGCGGGAATGTGGACGCGGTTCCATCATCAAAGACCGGCTTAGGTGGAGCATCCATCGGCGAAGAAACCCGCAAATGCAGCCGCATCCAAGTGGCAATCTCTGAAAAGAAGGATAGAGCATGGAAGTGTGCCTTACTAGTAGTAACAAGTGCCTTACTAGTAGTAACAAGAAGCTGCAGCTATTAGAATTAATTTGAGTTTACCTTGTTATTGTATACAACCATTTGCGACCAATATTGTACCATTGTATTCTTGTGCTTTTGCTGTCTTGGCTTCAAGTGGCATAAACGAAACAAGCTGGAACCACACGTCCAGAGTCGGTGCATTCAAAGTTACAAGCTGTCAGGCTTGATTCGCATGACTATTTTGAGACTCAAACTGCACAAAGACAGATAGCTTGTGACCATGCAAATAGCAAACAAAACTGAGGGGCACAGGCACAATCAAAAGTTTTACGTGATTGAAGAGACATCAACAAAGTAGGAAGGAGATGTTGTAACAATGGGTCGGGTCATTAAGCTGCATCATGAAGAGTTCATCATCGCAATCAAGAGTTCATCAAAAGCTTAAAAACTTCATCGGCAAAAGTCTTGTCAATGGCGACAGGTAGTTGTGGCAGTGAAGCGAATTTCACAAGGCCTTCACAAAAAGCTACTAGGAACAAGTGCCACGCTAGTAGTAACAGGTGCCTTACTAGTAGTAACAAGAAGCTAGTAGAAAAAAAAACTAGTAGTAACAAAAAAGCTACTAGGCCATGGGAGTGGAATATCCATTGTACTGGTGATAGGAAATCATGGTGTCCTGTAATTGCTCAAAGGTTCTAATCTGCACTAAACCAGTGAGTGCCTAAATAAGGCCATCAATTGGTGATCTTTGTTCTCGTAAAACCAATCCATTTCGCTTCCATTGGAATTAGAAGCGCGAGGCTTTGTCAACATGTTGCAAACCTCCAATCTCAAAACCTTTTATGTTCTTTTTCAGCACAGCTGACTCTTGAGAAAGTTTGCACCGAAAGGGGCGAATCGGCGAGCCACGCTCCACATGTGCCCGCTCGGATAAAATTATGCTTTGCATCCAGGAAGACATCTGGAATCTAGTGACCCGCTGTAGCGCACGCACATGGCACCTTCTTGGTTGCCAGTCAGCAATCCAGTGATTTGGCGCGAGCATGCAGTGCGTCGCTGCATCACTGAAAAGCTAACAGGTGAAACCAAAAAAAAGTATTCTTATATGCGTGTTCGCTGGATCAAAACAAGCTTTGGTCCTTTGGCATTTCACCCGCGCTTTCTTGGAGATCACAAAAACATTTCCAGACTTGTTGGTTATGCAGTTATGCAGGTCTGTCGGTGCTAAAGGGTCCTCAGGCACCCCTACCGTCACCAGCCCTGAGCAGTAAACCTTAGATAAATTCTGAGGTGCCCGCCTGCACCAAAAGCTACACAATGTGTTTTATTCCACACGGTGTTGCGCCAAAGAAATCAACAGTTTGTCATGATTATAGCACATTCCTATTCTCACAATATTGTCATTTCAGTCGGGCCTCAGAAATCCACTTCTGCGTGTCAGAACCCGGGCTGGAAGGTTGGCTTCCGGGGGAACTCGGACCACTTGGGTTCATGCCATTCTGATTTTTCGTTGTCCTGATGTGGCGGAACCTGGCGAACAGAGAAACAAGATGAAACAAGTAAAACAAAAAGAATTAATCTTTATTCTAATAGCTTCTTGTTACTACTAGTAAGGCCCTTGCTCCTAGTAGCGATGCACTTGTTCCTAGTAGCTTATTGAATAGATTCTAAAACAAAATGACGCGGCAGACCTGAAAGATCCTGAAAGCCCTGTCTACCAGGAACATGCCTAACACGTAAAAGACAATTCCGCCAGTGTCGCTGTGATTTGTTGAACACATCCTCCACAATCGAGTTATCGGATTTGTGAATTTCGCTATTGTCATCATCCTCTTCACCAAGTTGTTTCGGTCTCAACTTGTCCAAGACCTCTTCAAAAAGAACCTGCCAAAGGCATAAACCAGAGCAACGATATGCCATGCCAAATGAAAACTAAGGCAAATTTGATGAGACTATGGAAGACAGGTTGCCTCAAGTTTGGTTTCGATCCGCCAAATGTCCAATGTCTTCGCAGTACCTTTCAATCGCCCAGCTCCTTCGACAAATTCCATGAGCCTCAGAACTAGAAGGACTAAGTTAGCTGAACTGGGAACACCGGGAACACTCCCAGCATGTCAAATGAGTTCCCACACATCTTGCCAATCTTGAAAGCATGCTGCGAAACCAGACAAGCAACGTAATTTCACCGTCTCCATTGTCCAAAAACTCGAAAAGGCTCAACAAATCGTGATACTCAAGTTCCTTAGTGTGAAAAATAGAAAACGCACTAGTGGCAAGGGGCATCGCTACTAGGAGCAAGGACGCTACTAGGGGCTCCTGGCCTTACTACTAGGAACAAGAAGCTTCCTGGCATCCCTACTCATTTCTCGCGCTTCTCAAGCCGTCAATTTTGTGGCTCCACAACGGCCAAGGTTCTGCAAACAAAGACTCTGCAGAAATTTGTGCCACGTTTTCCGCAAAATCCTTTCTTTGCTTCTAAGACCGATGGCCTCCAACCTAAGAGCGATGGCCTCCAAATAAATTTAGAGGGGTTCTTACTTCTGTGATTGGGTGGTTGATCGGCGTTTTGGTCAACCGCTGCCGCTACCTCGTCTCCCCACTTGTCTCCCCGCTATAGGTTGGAGGACATCGCTTCTAGGTTGGAGGCCAGTATATGCTGGCGAGCCAAGACTAGTTGAGCGCCCCTGGCTGCCATGCGTGCCACACCCCTCAAATTTGCACGACGCACATCCCACGGCGCAGGCAGGTTCACCTGAAAGATAATACGAAACTGTGGGCCATTCGGGTCGATGTCTGTCAACACCGAGCGTGAGAAAGCCGGCGCAGCCGCGGCGACGGTGAGCGCGGGCCTAGAGCGCAGGAGAGCCCTACCCGCCGACCCAAAAGCTTCGGCTTGGAGAGTCTGTTCAGCTGTATGTTATTGGGCGATCAGCCGACTACCCTATATGAGCGACGTGCAAAACCTCTTGTGTTGTAGTGCACTTATCGTTCCTGAGGGTTTGGACACACCTAACAACATGTACTGAAACCTTATCGCTTTTTCTGTGAATCCTAAGGCTTCCTTCACTTTTACTTAATTAGTCTTCACTGCAGTGATGCTGCCTTCATCGGAGGTTTTGGCAGTTGCTCATATAGGTTGGGGCCGGTGATGAATGTGGATGGAAGCACTTGAGGTTCTGTAACTCTCTTCTTTCGAAGCTCAGAAGGATCAAGGATCCATGCAGGAAACCCAAAGCAGTTCTGTCACTTTCGCACATCGACAGTTTTTCTCAAACGTACGGAACGCATCATTAGCAAAAGCTGGCCTCAGGGTGAGCCTTACGCAACCGAAAGCAACCTCCATATGCTTTCTAATTACAAACACTTCAGCATCGGTGGAGCTGTTTCTCTTTCTGGTGCTGGGGCAAATTCGCTCGCATATCTAGGCTACTTCGCGACAATCCCCCAGGACGACAATCCCCAAAATGTCGCTTATGTGCCAAAGCCTCGTGCTTGCTTGGCTTTCAAGGATCAAAGCATGCCAAAACGGTGTCGTTCCAGAGAGCACAAAAGCACAGCCTTTTAGATCGGTTTGGAAGATTGGTTTGAAGCTTGCTGCTGTTGGTGTAGATTTTTGGAGTCGCTTTGCTCTGTGGGTTGCTCACGTCGCACCCTGTGACAAGCATGGTGGATTGTGGTTTAGAGTTCGCGACACTAGTAACAAGAAGCTACTAGCAACAAAGGGCATCGCTACTAGGAGCAAGATGCTACTAGTAGCTCCTGGCATTACTACTAGTAACAAGAAGCTGCTAGTAATCAGAAACAAATGCTGCACAGCCCTTCCTTCCAAGTTGCCAACTGGCTCATCCAGAACTTGAGCTTTGGTGACCTCCAGGTGAAACCACAAAAACGTATGCAATGGAAAACACTCCTAACGGCATTCATTATAGACATGAGTCATGAGCAAAGTGTTTCTCTGGGCATGAGACTGGACCAGTTTTGCAAATTCCTCCAAACTGATTGAGCCATCGCCGCTTTCGTCGATTGTTTGGAAGAGCTTCTTCACCTTTCGGATATACCTGGCAGAGAGACTCCAGAGTCAGACGCTTTAAGAATTCAAAAAAGATTCCCCACAGAAGGAACGCTGTGAAGGATGCTTTCCAACAGAAGAGCTCATCAACCGTCGCAAATGTCTCACAGAACCTTCATATTTGAGCCGCTATGGCGTTTTGCCTTGGGGTGCTGTGTTGCGTAAATTAGTTGCCTGCATTGCTGACTACCTGGCACCGCTTCCAGGGGAAAGCCCAACCATAAAAAAATTGGAGGAAGTCGCAGGAAGCCCCTGGGCCCCAGCACTTACACCCCCCAATGTCGCAAGCGACAGGCAACTTCCAGTTCCGCTCTGAAGGTCAAGTGGCATTTGGGTGTCTTTCTCCTTCTGTTTAAATGCAAGTTCTTCATCGGAACTTGCTGTCTTCATCGTTTGCTGCACAAAGACCTCAAGAGTAGTCAAGGCCAGCAAAGCCTTTCTTTTCAAGTAGTAACAAGTGCCTTTCTAGTAGTAACAAGAAGCTATTAGGAACAAGTGCCACGCTAGTAGTAACAAGTGCCTTACTAGTAGTAACAAGAAGCTACTAGTAACAAGTGCCACGCTAGTAGTAACAAGTGCCTTACTAGTAGTAACAAGAAGCTATTAGGAACAAGTGCCACACTAGTAGTAACAAGTGCCTTACTAGTAGTAACAAGAAGCTATTAGGA